TGAGAAGATGGCAGTGTACCTGGCCCCTGATATGAATCCCAATTGTACAAATAAGGTGCAACAATAACATTAGCTCCGCACTTTTCAAAAAACGGATGGGCGGTTTATCATCGGAGTACAGTAGATACAAAAGCACACAAGAGAGCAGCTCCTGAGAGATGGGCGAGTGGCGCGTAGGAAAATGGGTTGATGGCAAAGAGATTTACTGTATATATATAAAAATGAATGATCGTAGTTATAGGCAGTGATGACAGTTTGGGGACTCAGGTGCACATTTGGAAAAAAAAAGAGGGTTTTGGGAACAGTCAACTTTGGACACAGTTTGGACGAATACATTCAAATTCCGGCCATGTTGGAATGTTGTTTAGTAAGTCATAATATATTGTTACTTGGTGGATTTTTTTCCACTCATCCATTAATTACATGCATTTGGATACTGAAGTGACGAAATAAGTGCATTTTTCAGTTAAAAAACTATTTGTTTACTTTGCAGGATCATTCTAGTAACACTGTGGTGTAGGTTAAAACTGGGGTAAGAATGTGAAACTTGTTATCTTTTGTATATTTGTTGGAAAGAGTCACTATTTGACTCTTTTGGCTGAGAGCTGACTTTCTTTTACACTTTTCTCTTTCAACAAGCTGATCTAGAGTTGTGACAGAAGCCAAAGAACACATGTATGTGACATGTATGTTTTGAGAGCGAGGAATTATTGCATGGATTTCACAACATACCCCTTAAGGATCACCCTCCCTGTACAGGGAGGATTCAGATATTTTTCATTTAACTGCATCAGTATTATAACTTAACTTGTGTCAATATAGTCAAGCTATACCTCTTTTGAAAGCTTATTCCCACCTCTAAATGCATATTATGTTCAAATAAACATTAAATATCAACAAAAGTAAGTATTTGTAGTCAAACTGTATACATATAAAAAATATATATTGTCCTTTCTTACCTTTTCATGCTAATATTCTGGGCCAAATCACGTCTAATCCACACATGTGTGCATTCATTTTGTCCGGGAGGGTCTAGAGAATAATTATATCCAGTTGTTTTTTCTTCAAAGTCATCCTTATAGTAGATATCCACTTGTAACAACACATTTGAGTTTTGAAAGTTGCCCGAACAAAAATAAAACCGCGTCTTTGCGCACTGTCTGAAGACGCCATTGTTTTTTTTACCCAGAATCACTGGGTATGTTCGTCTTCCTCTCAGTCTTCCCTTCAAAACAAGCCCTCACTCGGACTTCTCAGTGCTATGGTTTGGGGGGTACAACAAGTTGACGAAAACAAGCGCACCAAACTTCAGCCCTCCAGGCATTTACCTTTCTGTGCGTCATGACAGCATTGTCTTGACTACCATTGGCCGATTTGGATGTCAATCAAACCATCTTGTAGCCAATAATCTCAGGTTTCAGGCGATGTGTCGGACTTCAAGGTTCCTCCCACTGTTCGAGTGTTATTTGAATGCGTAAGAGAGGAAAGCGGAGCATTTTCACGGAGAACACGCGCTATAACTATATAAATAATAGCTTTTCTGTAAACATTTCAATATCTGGAAAAAAATCCTATTTATAGCAAGAGTAATAGCCAAAAAATGATATAATTTGATTTTTGGTGTAATAATGTTGATAATTTGCATGTAAAACACTTTGGCACAATTGGCACAAAAATGGACCGCTTGTGCCGAATGTGCCCATTAGTCACAAAAAAGCCCCCAGCATCAAAATGGTTTCACCTAAAGGTCTAAAATTTCATACAGTTGTTGCCAACACCACAGACATCTGCTCTGGTGAGTTTGAACAACATATCATAAAGTATGTCTTCAGGAGAACCTTTTGAAATTGCCTTTTTTTTTTCGAGACAAAAAAAACTAACTTTTACTCATGTTTGAGAAGGTGTAGTGCAGACTGTGTCCTTCCTAACAAACTGTAACATACATTTCCAGAAACTAGAAGGTGTTACCTTTCAAATGAGGTCTCATAACACAAGATCAGACACAAGATGTCCACACAGTAAGCATTTCTATTTGGGTATCATAATTCGAGAAGAAACAGGCGAAATTAGGTGATCCTTAAGGGGTTAACAAAAGTTAGGTACCCCAGCCCTACCAATTACCATTTTCAAAGTCCCAACAACATAAAGTCCAACCCAAATCGTCCAAACTGTGTCATGTAAAGTTGACATACAAAAAGTGCCCTTCAAATAAAATACTGAGCGTTGGTATGTACAGAAAATAAAAGTATTTAAATCTGCATTTATAGAAGCGGCCGCTGGCACATCCTCCAAAACAGTTTGAAAATATACCAGCCTGTAACGCCTCTTTAAACACTAGCCAAAATTAAAGACCTTTAAATGAAAAAACTACAGCAATAGTCATCAAGAGTGATTACCAATAACATTATAATCTTAATATAAAAATCTAAACATTAAGAGAGGCCAAAAAGTAGTTGTCAGAGTAATAAATGTCCAAAGTTGTAAGCCGCAAAGGAAAGGTCTATATTGTAAACTGGTCTAGGGCAGAGAAAGGTATAGAAAAAATATGTATATTGACCAAAAAGCTACTACTACGATACAGTACGTCACAAATAGCCGATACTCAAGGGTTGGACCGCCACACTTCAAATCCTTTCAGAGAACCATTCCAATACTGGTTTAGCCCAGTCTGAAAAGCTCAGGAGAAGTACAGGAATAAGGCCATGGTAGAAATGTGCTAAGGTGCAATACAAAGGGCTTTTATGTTCACGAGATGTGGCTGAATTTTAGCATTAGCATATAAAGACTTTTTTATGACTGAAATAGTTATTCGGAATTTTAATTTCTACATGACAAATGTAAATTAGATTTTGATTTTAGTGTTATTTTTCAAAAAACCTATTGGGATTACAATTTGATTTGTGAAGCTTGGATAAGGTTCAAAGTAGGGCTGGGCGATAAAACGATAAGACGATAGACATGTGTTCGATATCAATAGAGAATGGGGTCGATAGAATGTTCGATAGTTTAACTTAACTCCGTCAGGACAAACCGGAAGTAAAGCCGACTCATAAGCGCATGGCATTGTGGGGGATGTAGGCAGAGGCTTCTCGACCAATAACAGCTGAGCAGGAACCGCAAAACTTTGTGGGAAATGCAAAAACAACAACAACCGCAGCATGCGTAGCGTCCATGGATCTATAGCTTGTGTTTCAATGCCGTGTCAATGGTTATGCACGTACGTGCGCGGAATAACATGTGCGGCGGCAGAGGCAGTGGACAGACCCGATGTATTCGGCGAAAGCAAGAGATTAACTTTTTCCTCGGGAAGCATGTGCGGCACAGAGAGCCGCACGGAGCGGTCACGGGGACACAAGACCCTCAAACAGCTAAACCAGGAGCTAAACCAGGAATAAAAAACGAGGATTAAACCAGGACTAACAACGAGGGACACAGTGTGAACATGTTCCTCCAGCCTCATCGCCCCGTGACTGTAAACAAGGCTGCTAAGGTTGGATAGCCCACACGACAAATATATTTATTTAGGTTAAAAAAAAAAAACTCAATATATATCGTCATCGACCGATATGAATGACTTATATCGTGATATAGTTTTCAGCCATATCGCCCAGCCCTAGTTCAAAGTGCATGAGGAGATTTAAAAGGTTGAGGGAAGACTGACACCTCAGGAATTGTAGGTGTGATTCTAAATTTGACACTATTGTCACTGTTGAAATATGGCAAGTTTGAGACTGGACTTGCCTTTTCCGTTAGCAGATAAAACAGTCATAATGCACTCAGGTTAAGAAACATCCTGCCTTCTCTAAACTCTTATTTGCAGTGATCTTTGTGTTTCCAAACCATATTTGTATCATGTGCAACAAGATTTGCTGTTCGTAAAGTCTTTACGATTTGCTAATTGCAGCCACTAAAAATGTAATTTTGATATGATTGTAAAGCCCTAACTAAACTAACAGAAAAAAAATGCATTTTCCAGGCTATGAAACAGTTTTACACGACTGCATACACTTACATATTGAGACATTTTTGTATGATTCAAATCTAATTATAATTTTATGTATTGTTAAAAATAATCAATGATTCAAACTATACATTGTTTTTAGTGCAACTACAGTCGCATGAAGGAGATTATTCCTTGGTCCCAAAAGAATGGAATTCTCATGGCTTTATTTTCCTTATCGGGTTTAGTTGTGGTCGCAGCATTTCTTCAGACTACAACAGTGGAAAACGTACTTTGTTAATCATACAGATATATTATCAAAGAAGGCTTTCGCTGGTCATCTACGAATGTTCACACCATCCCAACGTTGGTCAACACAAAGCTCCCCGTAATGTTTTTGTAGTGCTATAATTTGTAATAAGAGTAAACTGTTGAAACATTATGGCACTAGTTTGACAGACAAAAGTCTTTCAGCTGGAGTAAAATTGTCACTTCTTCCATAAAACACAAGTGCTGGAATAGAATGTGAATAAAAAAAGACAACTTCATAATCAGAAATAGATTTGAAATGTGATTGGTACCCTTATCATGAAGAAAGTCTGAGCCTGACCAGACAACATCATTCCTTTTCTATGAATACCAACTTTTAAACATTATTAGACAATGTTTTGGATCTTTTTTTTTTTTGAGAGGTTAAAAAGAGCCTCATGAGTGGTCATGGTTTTGGACTGAAAATAACTATATAACCAAAAACAATGTCAAGTCTTTTTTTCACTTTTATTCTAACTTTTTGAATAAATAGACCTCTTCTTTGTCTTTACAACATCCAACAAAAATGAATAGTCCGACTGGCCAGGCTCACGGAAACTACCACTACTTCTCCAACAACTGCCTAAACAACTTGATTATTATTATTTTTTTCCTAAACCCTTTGAGTCCACCAGACGAACAGACAGACAAAAAGACAAAGCTAGCTCCGAAAGCGAGAGGACAGACGATGAGGGCTTTTTCTCACGGAGAGCGCCCTCCCCACACGGCGGCCCGGGCAGGTATAGCAGGTCTACATCATGGTCTCCACGATGGTGTGGCTGGGTGCTTTGAGCAGCAGCCCCTTGTTCATGTTGGGGTCCAGGGGGTAAGCGAGCTCCTTCAGGCCGCGGTGACCAGCGGGACGAGAGCTGGCCCCTCCACGCACCGGGGCCGCCACCGCCTTGATCCTCTGGAAAAGGCAAAACAAAATTAAGACAAGCTCCATGGATAGGAATCTGAAGTGAAAATCTTTCATAGCAACCTCATAGCAACTAAAGAACCAATGAAAACTGAGGGGAATCTGATACTGCCATCGACTGTTCATGGGAATAAACAGTGCAAACCCACAAGCCTCAGAGAAGTTCTGGGTTTTTGCTCCTACCTACTTAGGTTCCTACTGACTTAAAGTAAACACGTATTTCTCTGTAACCAATTGTGCCACACTCACCACTTAAGGCTTAAAATGTGGGGTTTAATGCTCTGTATGATCCTGATGATTTCCTGTTTATAAAATCTAACATGAATATGCACAAACTAACCAATCAGGTGCCTTCTGTCCCAGACTGTAACTTCAGCAAATAACGAGAGCAGGGGAACAGACGGGCAAACACTATTGCTGATGTCAGCACTCGGCTCGTCCACTCCTTACCCACACAATGTTTTAACTACAACCTCTCCCCAGATCATTTATCAAACATGTGACTGTAAAGACACATTAAGTTTCCACAACCTCAAGTTAGGTCATGTTCTGACTGTAGGTAATGGTGCTTTATCAAGTTCTTTATCAACAATATTAACCAAGCTGCTAAACAAACTACAAACAAAATAGTTTTGGCCTTTGTAAAATAAAAAAGAAGAAAACTTAGGACTGCTCACAAAAAACAGCTCTTCAAAACACCACAAGGGAATATTTCAGGGTTTTTTTAACTCAATCCAAATATATTTTCTTTTTCCAATAATAAAAATTAAAAAGACTCTAAGCTAGTTTGAAAGCTCCAGTTTGGGCTTACTGACCTCGATGAGCGGCCCATCAGAGCGGATGATCTTGATGACCACCACCATGGGGATGCAGATCATGGAGGCCAGAGCCAGAGTCCAGCCCACACCGATGGCCCAGTCTGGATACTTGTAGACCTTATTGTACGTCAATGGCTTATATTTAACCAAGGAGAAAATGAAGCAGCCCTAGGAATACACACAACATAAATATACATCCTAAGCAGTAGTAGAAGTAGTAATAGTAGTAGTAGTAGTAGTTTTTGCGGTCTTCAAGCACCCTTAAAAATATGTAAAGTAGCACTAAAATTATTGGCAAAAAAAAAAAACATTTAGATACTGTTGTTGTTTCGTAAAGTACACTGTGACCATTCTCTGCAAATGCCCAAGGAAAACCAAAATCTGGGTGGGCACAGTCTCTCATCTTTCCAACCTACTTCAGCTCAACAGTACTGCGTTTCTAACACGATAAATATGTGTGTGTAAAAGGTCTGCTTGAAAAAAAGTTGGTGAGATCACACATACTGTATACTTGTACTTTTACACACATACATGTCTCATACTAACTCGTTCATGTTTTATTTGCTATTACTAAAGAATCAAAACAAATCAGAAAACTGAAGGAAAATATAGGATTCTGTCCAAGGCCGAGTAACCGGGTCACGCATGTGTTCCCACGCCCACCAGCTCAGAAAGTGTTCCTAAGTTTAAAACGCAGTGTAAAGTGAAAATGGTTTATAAATACAGCAGTATAGTAACTTATAGTAACCGGGTGACCACAACATCTCTCTCATTTGAATGAATTGTATTGGTTAAATGGACCACATGATTTGGAGAATGTATTTGAATACCTATATTAATAATAATTGTGGTCCCAAAAAACTCTCTTAGACAGCTGATATATTAAACCCAAAAAAATCTGTTCTTTTTTTAATATATATTGTATAAACGGATCAACTGCCGTTCATCATTTAAGTAGAAAAACAGATGTGAGAGATGGAAATAATATTTATGTGTATTATATTTGCATATCTGAACCACCTCCCTCTAAAGCCTAGCGTACATCGGACTGGCAACTGATTATATCCGTCGCATATGAGTTGCTGCCCCGCACACATCGACAATCTGGCAAAAACAGGCAACTCTCAGTAGCAGACCAGTCTCGGGAATAACAGCGCGTACATCGACAGCAACTGGCCTCAACTACAGTGTGTTTTCTGACATAAACTGTTGCGGGCTCGCAATACACGCAATACACCCACGTTGTCGGAGCGGCACATGGAGCGCGCACATCGGGTCATATCTCCGAAACTGAGGACAACTAGTTGCCGAAAAGTAGAACACGGGCAACTGACTGAAACTGGAGACCGACTGATCATCTCCAGTTGTAAGAGTGCGCACATCGACCGATTTCAGCAACTGATCATCTCCCACCGTCTCCTCTCAGTTGCCAAAAGCCGCCTTGCAACTAGTTGTCTCCAGTTTCTCTGTCGATGTACGCTAGGCTTAAGGTTCTAAGCACCCCTGAAAGTGTAAAATCACCCCTGAGAAGCAGCAGTAGTAGTAGTAGCCGGAGTAGCAGTTGTAGAAGCAGTAGTAGTAGAAGTGATAGTAGCAGCACTAGTAGCAGTAGCAGTAGTAAAACAACATAGTAGAAGATAAGAGTTCCTTTATTCGTCCCACAGTGGGGAAGAAGCAGTACGCACCACACACAGTAAAGGAGTGATGAAACTCCAGCTCCATTTCATCCAAGGGTTTGGTCTGTAGCCAATCATGTCCTCAACGGCATCATAGAAATTATCAGCGCCTGAAAGAAGAAGTGTAAAAAGAATAAGATGGATCAAAACGTGAGAAAAAAAACGAAAAAGAAAAGTGGTTATTAAAGCTGAGGTACCTTTCAAACCACCCAAAATGAAACTACTGTATGTATTAAAGTCCATTTTTCTACACCCATTAACTTCTGGGGGACGTAACTCATAAATACAACACAAACAACAGGCAGTGTAGCAGGCAGTGTTTTTTTAATGTTAATTTGAGTGCATTCTGACCGTCTTAAAACCAGATTTGCCAATGGGACAAAGCCATTTAGTCGTATTTCTAAAACTATTGCATATTTTCTCATTCCAAGAGAGACATTTCTTGTATCTTTTTAAAACGAGATCATTTTGTTTGTCGCATTGGTAAATATTTATGGCAGTTGTAATTCTTTCAAGTTAAGATACATTTTTCCAAATTTTTAAATTTGTTTACAGATTTTTTGTCACTTTTTGCAGTGTACATTTTGCTTGTCCCAAAAGACAGAGTGTTGAGAAAGTGAAGTTTTGTAAACAAATTAGACCACAATATTCTGTTTTCATCTTCATATAAAACATGGGTGGTGCTTTCTGTTTCTCTAGATGTGACTGAGGCCAAAAATACACGCATGTGCAAACAAGGGGTCGAAGCAAACTGTTTGAAAGTAGTGTAGTAACATAGATTTTAAAAGAAAATTATCTTTGTGTGTGTTTTACAAATTAGAGACCCCAGCTTTAACAGTAAATAAATCCACATTAAATTGACCAAACACACTAGTATTCTAATCTATTTTGTTATGTTAAAATATAATCACATTTCTTATAAAGTCTCAACACAATTGTAGAAGGAGATTTTTGGTCTGCAGCATTAACTTTCTATCTATTGTGTAATGGCTGCTTTAATCATGTTTATAAAGGACCTCGTAGCCTGATAAGTAGATTACAAAAGGACTCAGCGGTTTGTGCACTGCATTTAGTCTAAACATAGTTCCAGCGCACCATTAGAGACTATACTTCAGAGACAGGAAGTTCTCATGAAGTCATAGCTCCTTTGCATTCTCGCACTCTTCTGCTTTCAAATTAAAATAAAATAAAATAAAAAGGACCTCTACTCGGCATTTGAACACGGGTCTAAAATCACGGGTCTTCAGTGTGAAAATAGCTTGTGAGTCATGTGATATACCCTCTATTTTACTGCCATCTTCTGCTTCGTCCAACCCCTTTTTGTCCTTTGTACATAAGACATAAATAAATGACTACTTTTACCTAAACGTCTAAGTGAGCATTTCTTTTAGTGGCTTTTAGCGTGAGTTTCTGTCAGATTAGTTACTTTCTCTGTGTTTGCATGTATGTTATGGCATTGAGTCAAAATAAATACACCATAATAAAAATATATATATTTACCATAAACCCAGGCAACAGCAACGCATTCAAAGAATGCCACCCACAGAAGGCACACACCGCTGGCTGCATAGTAGTCGAACAGCTGGAACACGTACATGCCACCCTGAAGAGACAACGCACACACTCATGAGCTCTCACACACTTCACCTCTCGAGTGGGCCTTTGTCTGCGCTACACTCATGACCTCTCACAACAAAAATAGACTTTTGTTACAACATTGTTCCCCTGATCAAATACTTATTCTTAACACAACATTCCGGTCAATATCAGAAACTTATTTTTCCCTTTCACTCTTAGTCCTGTAATAGTGTGATGTCATCGTACCACTATTAGTTCTTTAGAAATGTCTCAGGTGAAATTACATTATTTACAATCGCATGAATGTTTGAAGCTAGTAATTTTCAAATTTGAAAAAAACAAAAGACAAATTGAACACCTCCCTCTGGTGGTTGTATGGTGAGTTACAGGCAGAAAGCATTTTTAAAACAAATCATTGATACTTATTCTATGTTCTACTTATTTCACATTCACATTAAATGAAAGTAATTTGCATCATTATCTTTTAAGAGCCAATTACACTGCAACAAATATAAAACAAAAGGTAATAATGACTTGAATCTAGTGTTTTTATCTTAATTTGAGTACATTTTGACAATCTAAAAACAGGATTTGCAAATGTGACAAGCAAAAGTGTCTTGTTTTAAAAAGATATAAGACAATTCTTCCTTGGAATGAGACAAAAAATTGCAACAGAACTTGAAATAAGACTAAATGGCTTGTTCAATGGCAAATCTTGTTTTTTTTTTCATTTTGCAGTGAGCAATATTTCTTCTATAAAACATCAGTATCAATCTGCCTGCTGTTATACCTGAATCACTGCAAAAATAAATTTAATAACTGTGCATAGATTGAGAATACATACACATGTTCCCTCATGCTTTAAGACTTTCCATATTTGATACATGGAATGCTGAAATATATTCCTGCAGTGCAGCTATTTTCTGTTTGAGATAACATAACAGAGCCAGTTAGAGCATTTCTAGGCTTCCAACTCGCCCTAAACATGGAGGGGAGTTTGTTGGCAGAGACAGAACGCTTCTGTCAGATACAAACAACACGTTAGTTAAATCGGTGAGTGTTTCTGCTTTTAGACCAAACATGTCAAACTCTGGCCTGTGTGAGTAAAAAACAGTCTATTAATACAGCCGAGGGAAGTTCTCACGAATTCTTCAAAATAGTCCTCTCCCAATGGAGCCCAAACAACCTTAAACATGCCTTGTTTTTCCCAAATGTTCCATTCGCAACCAAGCACATGGAACTTGCATTTAAGCCTGCACATGAATGGATTATTAGTGTGTGTGTGTGTGTGTGTGCGTGTGCCCGTGCACGTGCGTGTGCATGTGTGTGTGTGTCTGTTTTTCTGAAGGAAGTCAGACTATTTGAGAATTGTGATTTCCAGAACTTAGAGCCCTGTTTCTCAAAGATATGTTTTACAGAAAGTAGTAATGCATCGTAATAATAAATATTACTACTGTTGATCATATTTAATATGTGAGTCAGTGGGATGAGGTTACCTTGGTGACCATGGTGAGTCCGAGCAGGTAACTGATGCAGCAGAGTATAGCGATGAAGATCTCTCTGCGGTAACCCTTCCTTAGGAAGGACGGATACAGATCGACTAGAGAAGTGATCTGCCCTTCCACCTCCACAAACTGCAAACAGCAACACACACATATTCATTACACTCAAAACCTCTAAAGAATATCCTGATGACCAAACACATAATGAAAACTTTTCAGACCAAATCTTTACTTTTCTTTCTTTTTCTTGAATTATATTTTTGGTAGATTTTAATTAGTTACATCCTGGTTGGACATTTGCAATATATATGCAACCCTACGTATTTAGTCCACAAATTCATCTATTGATTTGATCAATAGTTTGAGTGAATGCACACTGTAAACCCTAACTTCAATCGTACTTCAGATATCAAAGTTATTTTAAATAGATTTTTAAATATTCCCTGTAAGTGAATATTACAAATTTATTGTTAGTTTATTTAAAGCTTGACGATATCACTCAGGGTTTTCTTTGAATTGAACTCTCTCTGTTCAAGTAAGCCTCACTTTTGACATTTTGACGTGTAGAGTCTTAAATCAGACAGCTGTTAAATGAGGTAAGGTGGAGTGGGTAGCACCTTCACCTCTCAACTTCAAAATTGTGAGTTGACTCCTGGTCGGAGCAAAATTTAAACTTTATTGCAATCGCTTGAGTTACTTGGTAATATCAAGTAAAGTATGTACTCGAGTAATTCAAGTGAAGTTAATATGCAATTTATTTCCAGGGTTTTTTCAAGTAAACTTTGTTAGGGTTTACAGTGCAAGTTGTACCTGTTTGGATTGAATTATGTGACATATGTTTTAGATTACAACGGTATTTTATGAAATACCTTTATTTGACATGAGTTTGGATATTATTATTGTTTTTTTTTCTGACATGAGTTCACTTATATTTTGGATTGAAACAAAACAGGACCAAATAAAAAGAAGAGAAGTTGAAGATGTTTGCTTCAAATTTTGATTATTGATATTTCACGATTTCATTTCTAATTACAAATAAGGTAACATTTTAGAATACATTCAATCATGGGAAATATGTATATATATTTAAATGTATTATTGTATCATTAAAATTGTATTACATTTGGGTTAATTAGCTAACATCATGTATAGCATGTCGTAGTAACCTATTGCCATCAATGCTGCAAGTGAATAATAACTGAAAATCATTTTAGGACCTGAGTTAAACATCAAGGCCAACCAAAGGGCTGTGAATATTCTTAGAGGTCTTAATTATATGCCATGTGATGGTTGCGTTCTCACTAAGTGTCTGTTTATTCCATTAGCGCCTGTTCTAAACTTTGTCTCAGCACTTGAGGAGCACGTACATCACTCTTACTGCTCCGTACTCGGTAAGATGTAACACCTCCAGCAGTTGTCTGATATCTCATACTATCTGTATGTGAGCCATTGTCCATGACAGAACTACATCAGTATCCAGGCCAAACAACAGCTGTGGACTTCTGCAGGCTCTTATGTAAGCGCTCCTGTGTTGTTGACCATCTGAAGAATCTGTTTTTGTTCATAATCAGACTGGTATGTTTAGTCCTGAGCTATGTCCTCCATCTGCCAAGAGTCAAAAATGCACTGCGGCTGATTTACTCTGTGGGTGTTTGAAAGAGTATAGCTGATCTTTTATATGGAATCAGATTTATTTGCAGTTATTTCAGTTGGTGTGGAAAAATAAGAAGAAAAAGGGTAGGGGGAACGACCGATTGAGATTGTGGAACTGATCCGGATGTTCTGCCGTTGATAATATAATACGTATATTGTTGTACTGTACTCTATGTCTATGTGTTTACTGTTATTTGTTTAATGTTAGGGACAAGGTCTGCAGATATGGCCAAGGTCATATGGCCTATTGACATGGCATCAATTGTTATTCCTTCTGTCCCTTTTGAATATAAAATAAAGCATAACACATTATTTTACTGGAGAAAACTAAATGTCAATATATCCTATTGAATAATTTCAGATGTTTAAAATACATTTCCTCCCAAAATATGTTTTATTCTGTCTTATTCTTATATGCTCCCCTTGTTCTCTTCTCGTTGGATTGGTCTGCAGCAGTGTAATTCAGAGCTAGGTATTAAAATAAAAAACAAGGATTACATTTATTTGTGTTGCTACTGCTGCTATTGAGTCTGTTTTAGCAGAAAATAAAGAGGATAAAGACAGGAACAAGAAGTGAAGTGCCAAAATAAGGTGACAAAATTAACTCTAGACTTTAAAAACAGATCTAGTCAAAAGTCATGCAGGAACAATGCATTCAGGCGGCAGGGCAATACAAGACCAAAACACTTTCAAATGTATTTTTATATGCACAAACCCAAACTTTGAAGGTAAGTGCTTTTAGTGTCGTGTCAATAACATGTTATCATTGCTGAAGTTTTGCTCCTATTACCTTTTGCTCCTTTCATTATTATTCAAATCTCACTGCCTCTTTTGTAACTGCTCATGTCAGACTCAAAAATTGTGTGCTTAAAAATCTAAAGATGAACTTTATCTGACTTTGCCTTCTCCCAGAATTCATCTACTGCTGGCCAATAATTCAAACAGTTATTGATTGGCTCTTTGATTGCTATGAGGTCACTATATGAGGTAACCCTAACCTAAACTAAACTAAACGTATTGGTTGTCAATCGTGATAACTCCGGACACCACTCATCTGCGGACAGGATCAGGTTTGACCAAGTGTTAGGTCTGGAATTGTTTCAGGGGGAATGGAGAGGAGTGCGGAATAAATAGACAGGAACTAAAAATGGGTGCTACAATCTGATACCTTTTTTTTGCTTCTTCCCGAAAAAGCTAAGCAACATCAAAGCAACATTGTCAACTTATTTCTACGGTCTATGGTTCTGAGGGCTATAAGGAGATATCTGTTATGATCCAGGTTTACAAATATGTACAGTAGTTTGTGTACTTTAAATGTATGGAGTTTCCCTCTGCTTTCTCTGGGAAGAAAACCAACCATGCAACTTTGAGATCTGCAATTTTTTTGCACGATCTGCTTTACAGAACTTTAGTGCAGATGTAGTAGGTACATTTCTTTAAAAGCTTCAAGAACAATTTGAGTTTCAACAAAGTTTCTAAGTTCTGCTTTAGAACATTTGGGAGACATGAACCGACATACCCCAGTAGACATGCTTTTTGAACAATCAATCTAAATCGGACGAGCCGCTTACCTGACTGTCGAGGCCAAGCAGCAGCAGCATTATAAAAAACAAGACGGCCCATACAGTTGGGAAAGGCATCATGGTGACTGCCTTAGGGTACGCTATGAACGCCAGGCCGGGACCTACGTTAGGGGAGGGGGGTGGGGAAGACAGAAGAAAAATACAACAAGAGAAGACGTTAGCAGAATCACGCAAAGGCCTCGTCTGGTCTGCCCAAGGACCGGACGGGCAACACAGGCAAGACCAGACTGGAGCAATTATAAGCATTCATTTCGCTAAGTATGAGCTAACAATAACATAGACATAATCATAATGTGTCTAAATATACTCACCCATTTGGCAATTAACAATAGCAAAGTTACACAATTGAATGGGTTTAGCATACAAGTATCTAAACTGACAATGTTTTCAAAGAATTGTTTAGCTGTGGAAGTAAGTACAAGTAAGTCCAATACACATTGCGATACATGGTTATATGAACAATATTGACATACGCAATATAACAGTCCAAAACCATAATTAGGCAACAGTGAGATTTTTTGTTTTGTTTTTGTCTTTTGCTACAGGAGAGGCATTCAGATTAGAAGAGGAGGAGAGTAAATCTGTTTTGATTCAATTCAAAATAAGGGGACATATTAAGCTTTATGGGGGTATTACATTTATAACACACATAAGCAATGTTGACATTGGCTTTTGAACCCAACATGGAGCCCAGAGAAATGGGCGGGGATGGGTGACAGGCAAATTACAGGATTACTCAGACATGCAAAGATCCATGGAAATGAGTTGCATAAACTAAATGAATAAAAAGGGAACACTGTTATAGCAATAGCTTGTAAAAGTATGTCTTCATAATATGTCCCCTTTATCACAAAAATGTGATGAAAACAAAAACAAAAACTCTCAACTGTTAAAACAACAACATTCTAGAATATTTGTATCTTCCACACGATGTGCATGATTTACATTTTCCATGTTTAGGGAAAAAGCAAACCAAGTTCATCAGCTCCCCAAGTCAAAGTAAGTCTCCACCTAAATACTTCATTACTGCATTTTGCATCGTCCCAGTGGGGTGTAGGAGGAATGCAAAATGGTGTAGGTAAAACAGCAGCAGGTACAACAAACGCCTTTGTCCTATTTAGTTTCTCTTATTGTCAGAGGCGTAGTTTAATGTTGAAGTGAACCAAAAAAGTGAGGGCACAAGAAGCAGCTCAAACAGCACAGTAGTAGTTCACTTTTAGAGGCATCCATCCAACCAAACACCACTGTGTGAGAGCTGAGCACCGGCAGCACCGGTGCTCTGGACAATTACATGTCAAGTACAGAGTCAGTCTTCTAAAGGCCGTATTCATCACTCTCTATTCACGCATTTAATATGAATACATGGTTGAAACTATTTCAATCATTCTAAATGTGTGTCTAATGGGGAGAGCAATAGTGATTCTATTGTTCATAGTAATAACTGAACTATAAAAGGTCATTTATGTAAACTTAACTTTAACGTAAAGTAATCAGCTTAAAAGTGAAGTGTCATTACAAAAACATTTATCTGATCAGATTGACCCTTTTCCTGATACCATTCTGATTGTCATAAACATACAGATTTGCTCTTTCAGTCAATTCATGTCTAGGGCTGGAATTCTCGTGGTCCCACTCAACACGAATGGCTAACGATATGTGATGTCACTATATGGCGATACTGCTCATACATGTGTCGACACCCCATCCAAAGTGTTTTTTATTGCTCATGTATCACTATTTACCAACATTAACATTATTGAGGTATTTTTGCACAAATACTGTAATTATTTTCTAAAAAGCATGAGCTTTGATTTTCTTTTTTGTAGTTTTTTACAGTTGTGCTTGGATTGAAAAAGGAAACAGAGATTGGGTTTTGTGACTGGTTTACAGTTTTCTTGAGAAACTAAGCTTTAAAATGAGGTATAACATGCCATGTTGGCTCATACTAAGGGCAATGCAGGGAAACTGTCTTCAATACGGTGTATGCCTTGTATACTGTAGTTTGAATTAGTTGAATATTTTCAACAATGGTGCTACAACTGAATACCTCACAAAAAGAAGGCATTGTTAGTCAGCCAAGTGAAGACTGGCGACTCAGCTACTGTGAATGTGGCAGATGCGACACTGCCTAATGTATTTATTCCGTTCCTTTTTACTAATATATATGGATATATATATATATATATATATATATATATATATATATATATATATATATGGATATATATATAATACTCTGATCCTCCATAGACATGAAATACTCTGGAAGTGCAAATCCAGAAGATGAAAACAGCCAAAATGATTCTGTGAAAAGATCATCTTATCACAACAGTCCTTTGAGTAAAATCTACACGTCGCCTAAAACTAATGCAGGGAATGTATTGTACAAGTTATAAGATAGGTGCCAATAACTACCTATGTGTAAGACTAGTTTAGTGTCAGTTAATACATCTTTGCCTGGAAAGTACTGTAAAGTGATGTAAGCAGTCTAAAACTTCAATGTTAGGTACAGTTATAGTATCATGGTACAAAAAACAAATTATCATTAAATAATCACAAAGCAAAGCATGGGTTTTACCTTTTATGGAGGAACCACAGCAATGGTAACACCAGTTCAAAACAAACTTTTGGAGGCATCTGGCACAAGATGCACTGTGTGACCTACTCCGCTGGTGCTATGCTGACTCCGACAAACAACTAGCTTCTTCTAAGTCACTGGGCAAAACGGACGATTAACCCCAGAACCAACTGTTTAAAAACATATTTCCTCTGTGGAAAGTTGCTTCTCCAGCTTGTGGTATCTTGCTGCTGAATGATTGTGGCTAGCAATGCACTTAAAATTCAAGGAGGTGTTTGATTGCGGAAAACTTCCATGTTTCGATGCCGTCATTTTTTAATAGAATCCATTTCTTTTCCAATGACCAAATGGGTTGTGTTTTGTCTTTTCGTTGCTGTTTTCTTTAACGTGGTGTTCACTTGTTATTTCATTAGTTGAACCAGGAAGCAGCGCCCACCATCACTGCCGCCTTTTACAGACCCGCGTACCTGACTCTGCCACATCAGCAATCTCCACCCCTTGCTCTTGTGCCATGAAGCCCAGGACGGAAAATATTGCGAATCCAGACACAAAACTGGTACCACTGTTGAGGGCTCCCAGCAGCAAACAGTCCCTAAGTCACACATATGTCATGGAGGAGGATTTGTTAATGAACACAACAGTCACCCCCCTCAGACGCTAATGCTAACAGCCCGCTAACAAAGCCCCCTCCCCCCGGCCCAACGCAGCCTCACCTGTAGCAGTTGTATTTGTACTTGTTGTAGCTCCCCAAAGAAGTCATGGCACCCAAGCAAATGGCGTAGGAGAAGAAAATCTGGGTGCCTGCGTCGATCCACACCTGTTGGGGGTAAGGGGAGAGAATAGGGACAAAAAGGCTGAGGCATGCTGGTGTTGGGATGAAAGAAACCAGTTGCAAGCTACAGGTTACAAACGGGCGAGTAAGCTTATCTGAATCATTTGGAAAGGTTTTTCAGAAGTTCAACATTCAAGGGACAATAGTTTGAAGATTCAGTTTCAAAATATCTGCTTTAAAAGGTATTTTGTTGCGTTTTCTATTACACGGTCCAACCAAGTACTTGGAAGTAAGAGTACCTTTACGCTCAATATATATGATCATATATTGGAAACATGCAGTGTATTAATAGAACAATTTTGTTTTAACAGTTTTTTATGCATTTTTTTATTGTATTGTTATTGCAATCCAAATACAGTTCCTAAAACATAGTTTTCATGTATTTATTTTCTTTTGTTTCATCAACACGCTTTTTCATGGAAGTTCATCATATTGAAGCTGCATTTCTAACAGACTGGTCTGACCACTCTGGTCCCAGTTTACATAGATGGAGCCTTATGATGCTTTCACATGTGTTTTGTAACCGTTTGTGACCTCAGTCCCCTTCCTACAGCCTGAGTCCTGGATCTATAGGCTGTCAGATTCCTCTCAATATGGGTCTCTCATGCGCCTCCTATTGCTTCTATGTGTTTATTATAATTATAGCATTATCTGTATTCAAACTGTTTGATTTGCTTATCTGTCTCATTTTTTGTAAACTCATCCTAGACGACTGCCATTGTGATTTGCAAAAATAGATCAAATTGAATCAATATGTTTACTTTGAGCGGTTGATTTACACTCGGGCTAAACTGCAGCAGCACAAACTTTCATGCTTTTGTCCTGAAACAAATTTACAAAACTATGATTTATTTGGGCCAATGGAATACTGTATATGCATCTCACTTAAATGCATCTACTAGCATTGTCTCAGTTGCATCCGGCTCTATCCATTTTTTTCTCGGTAGCATATGTGGTATGTCAGTGAGTAGGACTGTTTCCATTAAATTACACCAAAAACGGAGCACGCTGGTTACAAGTGTCTTGCTCAATCCATCAAATTTGACTAGAAGAGATATCTGGTTTTTACTAGTGCTTTGTAAACTTACTTGGTGTCAATATATATTCAGTGTTTTAATCACAATTGTTGGTTTTATCACTGAAAAAATAAACAAGTGTCATTCCACCTGAAAAAACTCTAAATTAGCCCGTAAGTTTGTTCTGTGGTGTAGCGGACAGCGGCCTTACCTCCGGGTCCTTGAGGCGGTTGAGGTCGGGGTACAGGTAAAACTTGATTCCTTCGTAAGCACCGGGCAGAGTCACTCCACGGATCAACAGCACGATGAGCATGATGAACGGGAATGTGGCAGTGAAGTAAACCACCTGGAACAAGGGGAAGTCAAGGCTGTTCAGAACCACTCAAGCACGAGATCACAATCGCAAATAAATATGACTTGAATTGTATTTCATTATGGAGATAATGGAGATTTTGGACTCTATAGCTCTTCCCTCCCCTCCACTCCTCACTGTCTTTCCGGCTCACCCCCTCCCTGACCCCGCCCCCCTCTGACAGCCACATTGGGCCGGCAGTCGGAGGTGCTCATCCCGAGAAAAAAATCCGTGGTTTATACAAAGCACAATGTGTCTATCCAATTGTCTGTGAAACTGTGTGTTATTACTCTCTGCTGTTTCTTGCTTGCACACAGCGCCGCAAATGGCGAAGTGGCACGCTCTCTGCCAAAACAATTTCCAAGTGGTAACTTTTGTTTGTTACTTACGTGGCAATAAAAAAATATTCTGATTCTGACTCTGAGCCATTATGTAAATTAAGTTTTTTTCAAAAGTAATGTTTTTAAAAATGTCCCCCCACTTGGTAAAACCACATTAACCCTTCTAACCCAGCCCAGTAAGATTTGCTGGAGGGGGATTGTTCAACCAATGGAGGGATTTCATAACATTTGTCCAATTGGGAAGATGTGGGGTAAAGCTAAACCAACATTCACTATGAAACTTTCTAACTTGGGTCTAGAAAAAGGAATACAATTTCCCACATTTTAGCTGCAAGAAAGAGCCCTGTGAGTTATTATTTGACTCGTTGGGCTGTGACAGAGGCCAAAAACGAGAACTAAGCTGTTTATTACATGTTTTGGTTTCAACTTTAATTAATGCAGTAATGCAGAGGACATGATCAGCATTAGTTCAACTAATCTTGTTGTCAAAGTAGGATATTACATTCTGTTCGAGTTAGATAAGCTAAGGCATCTTATTTAAGTTGACTGGAAATTCCTAAAAGGTATTTTGAGGTTTTAAAAGGCAGAAAACAACTTTGTGCCAGGAGTTTCTGATGTTAGCAGGAACTTAAGGACAAGAGACTCCAGAACATTTTCCATTTGCTAAATGAACATTGGTTAATCTGATTCTCTTCATAAGGACTAAGGAATAACTGTTCTGTGCCCTGCTTTTGAGAGATACATAAAAATAAATTGATTGGATTTAACATGGACGTTGTTCAAACAAATCCACCTCTGTCTTTCATGGAACAATGTTTTTACATTATACAGTATGGGTCTTAAAAAAGGAAAACAATAATGAGTATTGTGAAAACCTACAGTAGGTCGATAACCAGTGATTCATCACTGAAGATTGGTGTGCAAAGGCTGCAATGACTAATATTGACCGGTCGACTATAACACTGACTGTAATGGTATTACAGTAAGGGGGTAATTGTTAACAGGACAATAGGGCCGCTAAGTGGTCATGTAAAACACTACTGGGTCCTTGCTAAAGCTAATTATAAACAAAAATCCAGTTAACCTGCTTCATTCTTATACTTATACTTAATTGTTATTGTGAAAACAAGTGATAGTGCCAAAAGGTTCTGAGAGCAAGGACCTACTGTAGCTATTCATATGTGTCCTTTAATATGTTCATGTCTGGAGTCATTAGAGTTGTACCTTTCCAGTGGACTTGACCCCCTTCCAGATGCAGAAGAAGCAGATGACCCAGACCAGCAGCAGACACAGGGCCAGGTCCCATTTGATCTGACCAATGTCCTCGATCCCATTGGTGATGCCCAGTACGTTGTGTCTGCAGAAGGAAACAGACTCAGGATGGAGCTGAGAAACAGCTCTACTTTCACTCAGACAGGCCACATCAGTCCATAAGGCACTACTTGTTCTGTTCTGATTTCCAGCTTACTTAGGGTGTATATATTTAGTGTATTCCTTCCACTTGGATAAAACAAGATATGTTATTCCTTATTTGTATCACTGGTAACCATTTGAACATGAAATGACAATGTTCAATGAAATAAAGCAGTTGTTCAGTTACGCCTCTGTAAAGTGGAGGAGTGAAGAGGACAGTACAGCCCAGAGGCGGCTGTGTAGCAGCAAAAGTGAATGTGTTTGTCCTCTGTCTTTGAGGGCAAAAGAAGTGTGAGACGTGTGGGGGACGTTAGACACCATGAGCATTTTCCATATTTGGATTTTAGAGAGTCTTCTCCTCATGATTCTTTAATCTTCAAAGTGCCTAAATATTAACAGTGCATTCTTTTTCCTCAGACTATGACTCATGGACGCGTGGGTTTGTGCCTTTTAAATCAGAAGTATTGCCTTATAATTAGTTTAGGAAATTTCTCTAGCCTGGCCTTAGCCATCCGTACACTCCGGTCAATCATCATTTCCCTGCATGTAACGTCTGGGTCTGGTCCCTATGTTTGCGATTACATCGGTAGAATTCCATCCGACCAATCAGCGAGCGCGGGAGGCGGGTGTGTACGCCAAGAGTTTGCGTAGAACAGGCAGGTTGTAAAGGGAAATTGAAGCCGGAGCAAGAGGAATGTTTAGCAAATGTCATTGCTGGCAAAGATTGTGGCGCTACTCCCTACGGGCTCTGTTAGCGGCAAAGGAGATGGCTAGGCTAAATGCTAGCGACAAACTCGGGCATATTACATACGTCACAGTAAACTAAGATCCAATCGTTTCAATCTGCAAAAGGAGTTAACCCCTCCCACTTGTTAACGGAGCTCAATGGAGTACCTCCAGACCTTTGTATGAAATGTTATTTGTTCTATGGTGTGGTACGACCAGGCTAGAATTTCTCATGTCAAGATGCATTTTTCTTACAGTACAAACTCATGACAAAAATACCAGAGCAACTCCTCCTATTTCTCAATACTTGCTGTAACTAAATATCGAACCATGATATATCAAATGGTGGTTTGTCACATCACAGAGAATCGTTTTGACAGTACATAATTCATTTGAATGTACTTCTTGAATATTTTTAACATATAAACATCAATAAACATATCATTCTAGAGCCTAGTAATAAAGTGCACATGTTTAGCTCAGGCAGCTTTGATGAACAGTGTTATAGTCGAAGGAACAAAGGATCTCTAAAAACGTTCTGTTCTGCTGCACGGAGACCAGCCTGTTGTTATGGTTACTCTTCTGAGCGGCCATAGTGTTTTGCAGAGGATGTCTGGAGTTACTCTGGATGCCCTGCATGAGAGCCTCCATCCTTTTTCCCAGCACAGCTCCCACAGAGTCCACACGTCTCCCCATCACAGAAACCCATTTCTTGATCAGCCTGTCGAGCCGGTTACTGTCTCTCAAGGTCAGACTACCGCCCGTTACACGCATATTAAAAAATATATATCTATCCATTATTTGACGTAACCTGCAGATTATCATAATCTGCTGGCTGTAAATTTGGGGTAAGACAGACAGAAAGTGGACTCACTCCCAGAACTCGGTGACAGGGGAGGTGAAGTTGGAGAGGCTGGTGGCGTTGCCAACCATCCATAGGGATTTGTTCTTTCGATACGTGTCCTCAATGCAGCGCTCGGTGTTCCAGGGCTGGTTACAGCGCGCCCAGGGCAGTTCCGGTTGGAAACACTGTTATAAAAAAAAAAATATCAATCAATATTTCTTTACAACAATAATAAGAATTATTCCGAAATATTCCTATTTAATTTAAGTCATCAAGCCGCATGTAAACCTGGACACACCAACTTCAGCGTGAAAAAAAGTCCAGTTGTCGTACCATTTCTACTGATTTTTTGCAAACATGTAACTGGACACTACTGAGAACAGGCCATTTAAGAATATAGGGAAAAGCAATGATTGTATTAGAAATGTTTGTATTTGGATAATTGTGAGTACAGTGAAGAAAAAATACAAATTGTTGTATTTAATTGTGCGGTAATGGTATTTTATAAAGTATTGCCTGGAATACAAGAGTCCTAGAAAGAGGAAAAGTGCAATATTTGGCATTGATATTTCATCAACTCATCACTTATTCACTGTTGGCTGTTTAAACTCCATGAACTTTAAAATTAATATGTATTATTTGAGTAACATATTCAAGTAATTTCCTTTGTGGATCAATAAAGTCTAATTAATGATATATTTTGGATTTGACCTTTGTATTGCAATCCCTCTCTTTGTTATCAAAGCATGAATTATTTGCATCTTTGGTTCAGCATAGTCCATCTCACTATTATACAATTGTGAATATTATTCATTAGTTATTGTTGCAGCCCTACTAATCAAACAAATATTTTGGGAAATTTTGTATGCAAATTCTAGCCCACCTTGAAATGTACACCCCTGTGTGATCGAGCTCTTTGTATTGTACTATCAAAGACCCAGGCTCTTGTAAATAATATGTTTTAAATCCTTTTATACTGGGCTTACAGGCAGATCACAGCCGCCTTTGTGCCCGGGGAGTGCGGGGTCTTCAGAGGGGCATTTCATTTGGATTAGTGTCTCTATCAAAGACAGGTTGGGACATGAAGTAATACAAGCGGATACTTTGATCCAGACAGACGGACGTCATAATCAAATGTACTTTATTGTCTTTGTTAGTTTGGCAGCCGCTGAACATGCGGTTATCTGTACAGTCTGCAATAAAAATATACAACATCTAAAAAGGTCTTCAAGAACACGTATTTGTGATCGTGTTGTCCCTTAATCTGGATCTTGACAAGTAAATGTGAAACAATCTATAGTTATGTAATGTTACGTTTTCATTTTTATGAATAGCTTGGAGTCCATTTTCAAAATATTCAAATTTTCTGACGTACTTTTTGAGTTTTCCTGTTTTCTGCTGCGAGCCAATTAATAACATTTTAATAAATAAAGGCTTGATATGTTGCACTTTGCATGTAACAAGTCTGCCATATACAGTGTATAGATTTCCCATTTTAAGTTGAATTACAGTTTCAGCAGTATTTACTTGATATCCAGTAGGAAATATTTGGATAAACTTGACTAATGCAGTATGAAAGGTCGAAAATGCACCAAATGTTTCTATCTAGTGGCAGAACAGGGTAATTACACTCTGCTGTATTGACATGGCATTAGAAGGCAAGCAAACGTGTAAACAGCATTTGACAGGAGAACTCTTCAAAACCTGAAAAATCAGAAAGCTCTGTAAACGTTTTTGTCAAGCTAACCATGTTGGGCATAAAAGTATGTATTGACATAGACAATTGATTTGAATAAGGTCTTGGTTAATCCAAATATGACTTCTAACCATTGACCAATCAGGAGCATTTTATCACCGAATTTGGAAAAGACCAGTGTCACTTTTGATTGGCTCTTTGGTTGCTAAGTTGTTGCTACCCACAAATTTGGCACCAGATTTCCTCTCATGGAGCACACACTAGTCCACTGCTACAGTAAATGTGGTTTATGATGAGGTGTGGATGAAGATGAAATCCACTCCAAGCCCCCGTTTTGTGACTTTTACAACCAGCCCTGTTACAAAAAGCAAGTTTAAGTTGGTTTCAAACTATTTTTAGTAGATAGTAAAGCTTTAAACTTGAGTTGATTCAAACCACTAAGAGCTCCACTCGTTTTGCCGCCAATCCGCTCCATTGGCGTCGTTGGCCGTCACCCATCAATCAGGCACACACCAGCTCCAAACAAGAAAATGTGGCTTTCATTTCTCCAATTGAAGCAGATATTTATTTTGTTTGAAGTTGAGAATAGATATTGACTATGGCTGTAATGAATTTGTATTTAGATTAATCGGATTGTTGTTTAGATCCTGAAAGGTCAGTGCAGAGAATATTTTTTGAGATTTTTCCCCTTAAGACTTGAGATTTGAGACGGACTCAACAAACATAATTGGATGATTTGCGTGCTACACTATTGTAAATGCCTGCTTTGTCTGATTTTTTGTTTTCATTGCTTCATATCTAATGTTTGAATTCTGGATAGCGGACAATTATATCGGCTTTCTTTCAGATACTCAGGTGTTGGCCTTTGTTCAGGTTTTGGGCAGGTTTTGGTCAGGTAAAAACAATTACTTGATGACTATTTGGTAGACTACTTCAATGTTTGATCAGTTGCGATTAATTTGTGTTTGCAGGTTCCAAATCGCTTAGCTTTGGATAATTAAATATGCATGAATAAAGGTAAAGGTAGCTTATTTCTTAATTTTCAGGCTGTGGACATAATGAAGATGATGTTTTTAGAGCCGTGGCAGTTCTGCACAACATCTCCAATCCTCTGGAGACGCCTGGAGCTGATGCGCCCTCTGGGACTTGTTCTACATTTAGCTGTTGTCACGGCTACACAGCTGTCACTTTCTGATGTATCAGATAAAAACAAAGAGCTTTCATGTAGTTAGAAAATGTTAAACAAATGTACTATTCCAGCCTCAGCCAGCCTTGCGTTTTAGGAATATATATAGTATGAGACACACATATGTTTATCCAAACCTCTACATGCAAACCACAAAATATCAAACAAGTTCCTCGCAAAACATTTGGGTTTTATCATTAATTGGTAATAATACAAGCATGTATTTTCTGCGCCTGTCACATCTGCTTTTTCAGACAGAAAAGGGTGAAGAGAACCACCACTCACAGCCAGATCTCAGCACAAAGCATCAAATAGTGACTCACAGGGCTCTTTCTTAAAAGTACGCACAGGATTATATCATTTCTAATAATATGAAAACAGCATTTTGTGGTCTCAATAGACTCTTTCTATTGGGATTATTAAGTGTTATTTATGAATATGTTTCCATGAGATTGAGTTTATTTCAATTCTGGCCCCTAATAAATCAAACTTTATGATTTCATACAGATTTTTCCAGCAATATTGTTTTCTATATAGAACACTATTTTCCAACTCAGTGGAGCGTACACAAGGCTATAAAAGCCAAGGAGCTACTGCAGTATCAGGCACATTTTTATCTAATCTCTGCCAGTAACTTCCGAAAGAGTTAATATGCAACGCAGTGTTTGTATTGACTCACTTACTGGGACACAAAGTAATAACATGACCTACATTTTCTATATGGGCAAAGTCTGCTGCAAGGACTGACATCGGTGAAGTCAGATGTGAGAGAAGACATGGGTTTGATATTATTAGATTATGTATAATATGGTTCAATGTTATATACTTAGAAATCTGATGGAAAGAAAGAAGAGTTCAAGGTTGATAATTGTAAAGCTGTTTTTATCACAACAAAGTGCCAACATAACAGCAGATCATGGTAGTGAAGAGAAAAGCACCGGTCCAGCTTCTCAATACTTAATACAGATGTCCATCATTTGGCTTTCAGTATCTGCTCATACCTAACATAAAGAGGAACCAATGAGAGACTAAAAATACATATTTTTACCCTCTCAACTCAACCACAGCTAGTTGTGCCCAATTGTGTTATTCAATAGTTACTGTTTCCGTAACCACAGACAAACTTAACTAATAACCAGTAGCTATCTGCGTCACAAGGCTGCAACGATGTGTCGCCTTTAGAGCCAAATATTTATTGCAGATATGACTGGTTCGCTGTTTGTGGTTTGTGTTCTAAACATCCATGCTGTATTTTCACACAGTGCAGCATGTGTAATAGATATAATTGACCATAGAGAAAGAGCGAATGAGAGAGGTATCAGGAGCGGTGCGTAATGTGGTACAGAACATACGGATGAGGCGCACGCATAAAGGGAGGTCTCTCAAAACCTCTAAGCACAGGAGCTAAGTGCCTTCCCTGCTCTCATTTCCAAATTTTTGTCTAACTTTGAGCCACGGCAAGATGCTGTTAATGTGCGTGTAACAGAAACTTTTATTGTTTGTTCAGACTTACCTGGAACAGATAGTAAACTCCCCAGGCCAGGATGACGATGTAGTAGATGTTGAGCAGTGACACGATCACAATGGAGGCATACCCAATCCCTGCACACACACACACAAACACACAAACACACACATTGGCGTTCAAATAACATAATTTACATACTGGGAATGCATCTAAAATCACTTAATGGGACTTAAAGTTGGAAGTGAAAGTTGACATCCACTAGGAGTCTTGGGTACCACTTTATATACAGTTGTGCTTGAAAGTGTTCGTACCCAGGCAGAGATGTCATTGTTTTGGTCATGGTTTGTCACGAGATACTGGTAACAATTGTGATACTAAAAAAAAACAATAGGGACAAACAGAAATCAAATGGTCACGAGTTTTTGTGATTTGAAGTCATGTGCAACAGTTGCTGCCACACAGTTTTTCCACTTCCTCATTA